TATATCGCTGAACAAATATTACGTAAACGGGCAAATATTTACAAAAGATTAACAATTTTTAACAAATCAAAATTTGAAATTGAAATAAGTAATGGAATTATGAAAATTAACAGGCAATATATAAATATTTTCCCGTTCAATTATAAAATAACTCGTTCCCTCTCTATCAAGCTTAGTGGCCATTAACAGTTTCCATAATTTCGAGGCGAGGGGGGAAAAAAAAAAAAAAAAAGAAGGAAAAAAAAATAAATAAATAAAAATTCAATCACGCAATCCTCGTCAAAGTGGATCCTTGCTCGAGTGGAATTTTTTTTTTTTTTTTTTCGAGCAACAGATAAGGGGCCCTTTTTAACGGTCTTATTTCTGTGTTCCGGGGGACACGGTTCCAGTGAAACGAGCATTAAAACGACGTGACACACCCGACAAGAGCGACTCGTGGGTCCTCTTGTGGGAACTGGTTTCGAATTTATTCGTGATGGCGACTGGAAAGGACCGACCAGAAGTGGGTGGGATTTCGACTTCTTTCTTTCGCCTCTTATTCCCTCTTATTCCCTCTTATTCCCGTAGGAGTGGCGAGTTCTACTTTATCCAGTAGAATTTGTGTGTGTGGCGACCAAGATCTGTTTCGTTTCCTTTTTTTCATTCTTCTTCTTCTTTTTTTCTTTTTTTTTTTTTTTCCAAAGGAGGAGAAGGACTTCAAAAGTGGCGGCAGGCAGGAAGACGCACACATGGCCTTCTTTCTCACGGACGATTCTTACTTTGAAATATTTATACCTTTTTATGATGAGATATATCACGATGGGTATAAGATATGGGGATGCATTTGAAAAATATTTTCTTACTTACTACTTGGTTCAGCGGTGGTAAATACCAGGAATGATCAAATAACGTTTTGTAGCATAATTCTTGAACTTTCCACGATACTTTGTCAACTCTTCATCCTTAATGATGTTATCTCGTAGTCCAAAAGTGGATAAAAATCACCGTAAGAATAGTTGTAAAAAGTGCTAAATGATGTAAAATTATTCAATATCTGTGTAAATAGAATGACAAATAATTAAAAATTTCTTCAATTTTTTGCACAAAATTCACAAGAATCGGTTACAACAATTAAACAAAATGGAAAACAAAATGAAGAATTCTCACGTGCACCAGAGAAGAAGAAGAAGAAGAAGAAGAAGCAAGATGGACGAGAACGTTAAAAAGCCAGCTCAAAAACGAATCCAAAGAAAAAGAAGAAGAAGAAGAAGAAGAAGAAGAAGAAGGTGAGAGAGCAGTAAAACGATGAGCGACTGTCCGCCAAGGAGATCCCGCGAGCAGATAATTGTGTAAGTGGATCCTGTGGTGGACCTCGAGGGTCCTACTCCGACCATTGAACCGCCAATTATTCGTGAAAGAAGATCGGATAAAATTCGAAAACCGGCGAGGGATCGATCGTTCGTTGAAGATAACACGATTTCCATTCGTGCAAAATAATGCTCCATAAAAAATATTCGCAAGATTTTGTTGGACAAATCGAGAGGAGAATCTTTTACAAGATCGAAGAGAGAGAGAGAGAGAGATCTTCCTCGAGATAAAATACCATCGAATAAATAAAATCGAGATAAAAATTCACGTTTCTATCCATTAACGAGTTGGTCCAAAACTGTACGGTAATAAACGTCCACACAATGAATCTATAATCGCGATGAATCATGTTTCTTCTCGCTCCTAGACCTAGATTAAAAAAAAAATATATATATATATTATTTTCGAACATAAGAAAAAAGAGAGGTTAGAAATTGTCAACATCGTAAATATACAAGTGAACGAGAAACGAGAATATACCTAATCAATGATGGTTTGATTGATGATCCTGATCAGCAAACGCTTGATCCTCGTCTCGTATTAGCGGCGAGCTTGAAACGTCAATGCACGTGCAGGCAGGCAGGCAGGCAGGCATAGTATTCGTGAGCGGAGTATAGCGGAGGCAATATGTAGGATGCAGCGGTAGCATTTATGGGCATCGCCAGCGTGAATATTTATGCGGGGGCCATTATCGTCTACATAATAGCGGGTATGGCGAATATGGATAAGCGAGGCTTGGTCCTCGTGCACGCCGATTCTTCGTGGCCTGGCTTCGCTCGTGGAACGAGATAAAGGGTGCAGGGCCGTAACTTGAACGTATGGTTTTTTTCTGTATTCAACTTGACCCCTTGATTGTACAGCGGCGGAGAAAACAGGAGAAAATTCTTTTGTCAATTGATTGATAAAAACATAAAGTGGATGAAATTTTAAGTTTTATAAATCAAGCGTGAAAAGTAAAAAAGAAAAAGAAAAATTTACATTATACAAATTTATATATTTCTTATACAGAGAATATCGTTTGTGATTAAATTAAAAAAAGAAAATTAAAACGAGTCAAAAGTTTTTAAATTTTTCTCGAGTCAATCTTGTTCCCTTATTTAATTTCAAAAAAAAAAAAAAAAAAGAAGAAATCTTTACCGTCGTAATCTAAAATCACGAATAATTTATTCTCATCGTATTCCAAATATATGTCTCACGATTTTATTACCAGGAAAATTATCAGATCAAAAATTAAAACTTCCTTCCCTTCTATCGAATCCAGGATAGATCATTTTTTTACTATCCACTTTACCATAGGGATGATGATCATAAATAATAATTTCTCTCTTAATCGAAAATCAATCATTTTTGGTTCCATGGGCAGTAACCTGGTCGCCATTTTCTCGAAAGCCTATCCGGTTCCTCTCGGTACAGAAACCGGGAGGAATCGGCGCTCGCTTTGAAAATTTAATCCCTTCTACGGTCCTGAAAACGCCCATAGCGGCCGCTGGTTGGAGAGAGAGAATACCCGGTGCACCGCGGTTGGTATCTGGTCCCGAGGAGATATGAAACGCCCATGGTGTTTCATGGTGAGCGGCGTAAGGCCAAGATCCTAAATCACATTTGACTGTGGTAATAGGATTGCTTGGAAAGCCTGAAACCCCTCCAGAGGAATGAAATCCATCTGATAGTAAATCTAACCTCTTCCCCAACCCACCTTCATACTTTTTCTTTTTAAACCTCTTACGGATTCAACGCGCATTCCTCGCTTCTGGAATGTCGATGCTGGACAAAGTCGAGCCCCTCATTCGAGATTGAAAGACATTTTTTGAATGCTTAAAGTCGACGTTTAATTTTTTTACAGTGAACTGAACTTCACTTATTAAAGCATTATGGAATTGTTTGTTATAATCGTTGTTGTAGTAATTAATTATATATATATATATATTTTCTTCTTCTTTTCTATCTCTATATTTTCTTTATGCTTCTTATATATGAATATAAAAGTTCAAAAGAAGAATATAAATATAAAGAATATAAAGAAGAATTATTAAAGTCAAATACAAAAATTATCTATATAAGAAAACCATACGAGAATCTCTTCCTATTTTTCCCTTTTAAATTTTATTCGTTTCGTTATGTTTTTCATTATTATTGTTATCATTAATTATTCATTAAATTTTCAAAACAAAATTATCTTCGATTTGAAGACAAAGAGAAAAGTGAAATCTTCGAGTTCTTTGAGGATCCTTTTTTTCCTAACTCGTGAAATCCTTCTATACCGACAGGAAGTGAAAACAGGATGGAATGTAGGCCAGCAGGTCAGTTTTTTCCTTAACGAAATAACAAACGATACCAAGCAAGATGTTTCTCGAGGATCGACCCTTTGAAAAAGAAAAAAAAAATTAGAGAAAATTCGAAACGAAACTGACGCAATATACTGTGAAAGAAAATATTTTCGTTTTTTTGAAACCCTTCCTAAGAAAACTGATATACACCTAAATATATGTATAATAATCTGTTATAAATCTGACAAATTTCTTTTTAAATGAAATGCGCTATATTATATTTATGATTCCCACTTAAATATCTTACTTAAATATCTAATATCTACTTTGAAATATCCGAAAAAACTGAAATTTTATCATTTTCTTGTTGGAAAATAACAAAAAAATGTGGAATTTTAAATAATAAAGATATTTATTTACCTGTTTTAAAAAATAAAAATTTAACTGAGAATAAGAAAGACACGATGAAGAAAATGAAATTTTAATTCAAAGAAATAAATAAAAGAAAATGGAGATTAGATATATCCATATATTCATAACGATAAGCAAAGTATTAAAAATATTTATATTTATCAAAAAAATTAAATAAGATATTATAATGAAGAAAGTGAAATTTTAACCTGAAGAAACAGACAACAAGAATGGAGAATACTATTCACGTATAGCGATAAGAAAACAAGAACAAGAAAAATCTGAAGGAAACAAAGAAGACATTCACCTCATGTGTCGGATATGTTAGTTCGCGCGACCCATAGCGTCTCGTTTCACGTGTTAATAAATAGCCGGGTTATTACCGGCAAGCTAATTCCTCAGTCACTCTCTTCATTTAACGAAGCCAATTATGAGAGACATAAATGTAAGCACTTAATAGTTGTATACACAATCGCACGCGCGTGCAAAATTCCGCTTTTGAACAAGAGGAGCATCGTTTTGATCTACTTCCGTCACGGTACTTCGTTATTTCCATGTAAAAGTAGTTACATAATTTCCTGCCATTAAATTACATTTCTTGATATTCACAAAAATTCAAGAAGATAGTACCTAGTGTAATATAAAAAATAATATTCTTAATTTTTGTTTATTATTATAATTTAATTTATCGTTATTTGTCATAGAACAAAACAATTCGATAATATCACAATTCACAATTCACTATTCGATAATATCATATAAATAATTGTATAAGATTCTTACGTAAAAATTTTTAGTTTATCTAAATGTAAAAATTTTTAGGTTATGTAATTTTAGACAAATATCAATCCATGTAAGATTTTTACATAAAAATCTTTGGTTTGTCTAAATAGATTTAACATAGATTTTTAGATTATCAGATTACAAAATATCACTTTCAATTCTAATTCTATAATAAAATAATATTAAACTCACAAAAAAGACGCAAGATGCCAACTCTCAAAGAAGATTTCTCCAAACGTCGGGAAGAAAATTGACGCCATAGCGAGTGGATCGTCCCGGCAGATTCAAAATGATCCAATACTGTTTGCGTATCATTCATTCGACACTCCCGAGCACGACTGAAACCACAGCCAAGCGTGATGGTTCACAGTTAAGCAAGTGCTCCGCTTAATTGCCACCATGATACTTTTATTGTACGTTAATTCCGTGATTGTCGTTACGAAATCAATTTGCCACGATACTTGAGGCCTCGTAAAGTTATTTAACGTGTATTATAAAAACAAGCGTGCTCACGTGGTCTCCCTATTGCGACGCGGCCGTTCTCTTCGTTGATTTCCAACCCCGACGTCGTAAACCTCCACACGTATTGACTTGTTTCGTTCTTCTCCACGATTTCAAGTGTGTTTCGATGGATAATGGCTGCGTATAATCCGATGTATTTTCGTTGCGGAACGAACTTCGTTTTTGGAAGCCGTTGTGATATTAACAGAGAGAAAATAATTATTGCTTATTAATGAACACTGCATGAATGACTTTTGAAACTTTTGAATCAAGAATAATTTTAACAACACAGCAAACGTATCGCTCAATAATGAAAAATAACTCTTGAAAATATTATTCTCGAATATATTCATATTACAAGCGTCCTCTATCTAATAAAACTTGTCTCGAAAATATATCTCGCGGCTAATGATTGGATCAAATTAAAACGAATCTCGTGACGTAACAAGCATATACATATACATATACATATACATATAGTATATACATATAGTATATAGATATACATATATATATATATATATATCTACTTAGTTTATATTAGTATAAAAAAGAGGTTAGGAATAATTTCAAATGATTCCAATCCAATTATTAGCGAGAGTCTCATGTCTCATCGTTATAGATTGAGATATTTAAAAAATAAATTGATAATAAATTTCCAATTATTTAACTATCAGAACACAATGTTTCTAACTATTGCATTTATTATTAATGAACAAAGTCTATTCGATAATCCATGCAAGAAGAAGGAAGGATACGTTATGACATTTATATGGTCACAATAATACACTGACAATAACAACAGGTGTCGCGATTAGTCACATTTCACACATAACTAAGTATATCTAACAATATCCTACTCTGTACATAGATTTAGAATATTTCGAAACTTACAAAAATCTCAACATGAGTGTTCAATTCATAGAAATTGAATAAAATCTATGGACAAAGGTATAATGGGTAAAGAAAAAAAAAAAGGTTAGGAAAAAAATACCTCGATAATCCATCGCAAACAACTAGCGTATTCGATACGAAGCATCCACTGCTTAAGACATCACTTCACCCAGCACACCGAGAGGCATTCATTTGCCTTTTTTCAAAGATCACGCGATGGAACGGTGAAACGCAATGCAGTTACACGTATTGCCCGCGAGGAACTGATCATTTGCAACGGCTACGAATCGTTCGTGGTCCGAGGGCCGTCGCCGGTTATTTGTACGACGAATTAACACGGGCCGCAAACAAACACGCGGTACAGCTTTAAAAGCACCGTCGCCAGTACCTTTCGGTCAAGCCTTAGCTGCTTGCCTTGCTGCCTTTTTTTCCATACACGACTTCCCGGAGTGAAAACAACGCTCGTGAAATTCGTCGAACGAGGAAAAGCAAACATTCTGACCATTCTGTGACTTGGAATGTGACGTTTCGTTACACGGAACATTGGTAAATATCTTGTATACACTATGAGACATTTAGTCATTTATATCTTGAAAAATGATTCTTTTTATTTTTCATTTAGTGAAAATTAATTGGTTATATTCGTATTTTATTTGTATCAATTAATGTAAATTGATTAGTTATGTTAAATACTTTCATTTGTATCGATATAAGGTTAGAATAGAACAGAGTAATAATATGTATTGATAATCGTTAATTTTAAAATTCTTGAAGAGTTCACAAATGTATAATAGATGTGTAAGATCTTACTTGATAGATAATAAAATTCGAAAATAAAATGCAATAAATATTACGTCTATTGAATCGTAATTAAGTATTTGAAACTATTATAACTGACAACTTTCAAATATCTTCGAAAGATTCTGAAGAATTCTATAGTGGATAACGTAGGTAACAGACTTGTCAGACTTATATGTCTGCCCTCTTACAGCAATTTTTTGAACCTTTTTCTCTATGATATGATATAGACAGTTGATAATACAGATTTCTAATTATTTTACATTTCATACCATCAAGTATAATGATAATAATAATAAATCTATAATGATATATAGATATATTTCTATATATAATATTAAAGTACAGTATTTTAGAAATAAGTTAAATAATGCATCATACATGCATTTAACAATATTTTTAAAATAATTTATTTTTAAATTTATATCTTAAATTTCAAATAGAATATTTGCATATATATATATATATATATATATATATATATATATAGAGTTACCTTTTTCTTTAATAAATAATTAATTTAATTTCTATTATTAATCTGACAATAACAAAAATGAACAACAGACACTTTTTGCACACTTGAAATGTTAAATATTTTTAAAGTATGAAATAGATGAATAAACAAATTAACAATTTAATAAGAAATTACTACAACTTTAGACAATTTTTTTATAACAAAGTTATATTAAGTATTAAGCTCTCAGAACACATTGTTCAAGCTCATCCAAAGAAAAGCTGTAAAATTCGCCAAGGGTTGGCAGTTATTACCATCCATAAAATTTTACGAACTGAAAATATTAAACTCACTCGAATGTGTTCACGCAAACCCTTTGGCTTTTTTTCGACGCATTAAAAAAATTGCTTGACATTTCCTGAAATTAAAAGAATATAAGTTAATTGCAATAATTCATATTGCAACATAAATACAAAATAAATAAATATGAAATACATTAAATTTTTTTTAAACATAAAATAATTAGAAATAATATTTCATTACATGTATAAGATTCTTGTACATACAAGGCTCATAAAATAATACAAATAATATGAAAAAAAAAAAATCAGAAATAACAATAACAGCTTTTTAACAAACAAAATGGAGAAAACCGCGATCACGATGTAAACTAATCTCCGTTAGTGTTGTGTTTATGATTTTCTTGTGGGTTTGTCGAATACACTGGGATACCACTAGATTTATGAAGCGATGATTGATGGCCGGCTGGACAACCATGTTCTTAGACGAGTGAAAGTAATTGCCTTGGCAACATCTCTAAACTTGATTACCGCAGTCGCGAGCCATTAAAGCGCGAAAAAAATTCAATGGCAGACGTACTTTAAATTTACAACGAATATAATTTGTATCAAAGTTGTAAAAGTTATTATATTTTATTATATTTGAAATTATTTTTCAAATTTTTTATCACACAAAATCCGTGGAAAAAATTGTAATGCATTATAAATTTTAAAGAAGCATAAAATGATGATGGAGGAAACAGAATTTTTTGTTGTTACAGTTAAAATTTTCTAAGAATAGAACATAATTTTGTTAAATATAATTAAAATTTATTTCAAGTGAAATATTCACCGTATGTGGTTTATTAACATTAGTTTCATAAAATTACTAGGATTACTATAAGCAAAATTATAATTCTTGTCTATTATTAGATAAGAAATTTCTATCGCTCTATAGTTTAATACATTTCTCATTAATTAATTTTTAAAAGAATTTTATTTTTTATTACACATATTACAATTTCATAAAGGAGATGAAAATTTACAATTATTTTGACACTTAGGATTTCATTTATTTCTTTCTTTATTAAAATATCTTTTTTTTTTCTTTTTTTTTTAGAAATATTATCTTAATAGAAAAATTATTATACCTACGTATCATTGCACAATGATTTTATTTTATAAAACAATCAAAAACAATTTTTCATCTTTCTTACCTCAATTTTATCTAGAACTCCAATGTAATGAAGATAATAAGAGAAGATATACTTATTCTATTATCTCGATTTCATCCATATTCTTAATAAAACACAAAAATAAGACAAGAGAAAGCAATTAAAATTTCTTACCAATCATTAATAATGTTTATCACAATTATAAATAAATAATTATTTTTAGATAATTCGTGAGATTATTTGAGAAGAAGAACCGTGGATTTCGATTCTAAAAGGAGAAATTTTACGATTGTATAGGACGATTGGTGTTTCGTAAAGAACAATGAACGTTAATTTTATCGGTCATCCGGACGGATTGGTTGAACCAACTGACGATTCAGCAGCTGTTACCTCATCGGTAGCGTGCAACCGCCGCCACCCTGACGCTTTTAGGGGAGACATATTGGCGGACGTTACTGCTCGAGAAGAAGAGAGCTTCTGCGATCGTTTCCAAGGGAACAGAAGATATTAACGTGTTAAAAGAGACCGTTATAAACTACTCTACGTTCCAACCTTGCTCTTATCCTCCCTCTTTCCCTCATTTTCATTTTAATTTCTTAGAGAATAGAATTGGTGAGTAAGGTGAGCAACAATTCGATAACTCATCCAGTTAATCAAATTAAAAATGAACGGTAATTACATAAGAAAGTATCATTTAGAAAAAATAATATGGTTTTATATTTTAATCTAGCTGTATAAATAATTTGGGAAAGTTAATTGGAGAAAATAGTTTTTACATAAATTTAATTTATGAATATAATTAATCTATCTACGATAACGTAATTTTATTTTATTTTATTTCTTTTGCGATTAAATTGCGGATAATTATAAATTTGGAATATTCAAATATTCGAGTTTTTGGAGAAATTTTGAAATAAAAATTCTCAAGTTTGCAATCACGATATTTCGTCGAATATTTTTCCCCTTGGTTTCCTTCTTTCGACAGCTGCATCTTTTCTCAACAATTTTTTGAAAATAATACATACATGGGTGCAATAAAAGCATAACTCTTGGCCCATTGGTCCATTCATCTGAAATCCTTTCGTCTCGAAGGAATTCCACGTCTTGATACTCTACCTCCTCTACCTATTTCTCTGCGTTATATCTAAAAACTTTTAGCCACGGTTTCGCCTTCGTTTTATTGCCTTTTTTAACCTTTTTCTCTCTCTCTCTCTCTCTCTCTCTCCAGGCTTCGTTTTCGTCCTCGATTCTCTCCGCTACCAGTTTGCTTCGATTCCGTGATTCAGTTGGACGCATGTTGTGCTAACATTTATCCACGCTTATCCTCGTAAATATCCTCGTATTTTTACAATAGATATCGTGCGTGATTAAAGTGTTGAGATCGAGTTATAAATATAAATCGAGGGAAATAAGTGAAAGATTATTTTCCAATAATACAAATATAAACTGTGTTTAATTTAAATAAATAATCTTTCTCCATTCCTTGATATGGATCTTGCATCATACTTTATGTTTTTCAATTTTTCTTTTTTTCTTTAAACGTATTCCTTTTAAATTACGAATTAAATATCTTAAAAATATTTGATGGAGAAAAATTCTGGAATAGAAATTATTTAAAAATTCTTCCTCCAAGGAAACTTCGCCATTTCGGGGTGGAAATTATCGAATTTTCCATCCGCGTGCCTTTCACGCCTCTGGACCAACATGGCTGCTCGCGTATCCATGGTTACACCCTCTGCCATTCGATATAACCCTTGATGAAACGCTCACACTGGGAATAGAAGGGGCGGTACGAAAAGAGGGTGAAACTATAGCGAAGGGTGTGCTCGAGATGACGAAGGAAGGTCGATGTTACGCAGAAAGCCTTTCATCTTTCACGTCGGCCATTAAAAAAGAAAACTTATGTTTGTTAATTTATCTGCGAGTCGAGAGATGAGGCGAGCTGTTAAAAATTAATTTTAACAAAGTAGAATGAACGAATTAAAATTTGTAAGCAATGAAAATTTGACGAAAAGAGAATTGTTCATTCTTGAATTTAATTCTGTATAAATTACGATTATTCTCGATTTTATGAATTAATTAGTTTCTATTTTGCTATAGAAATTGTAGAATAGTAAATATAATCGATTCATAAGAAGAAACGTATAAAATGTGAAATAGATATACTTGATGAATAAAAGAAGACTTTACTTTAGATAAAAAAAAAAAAAGATTCTAGAAATATTATTCATTTGATGATCGTATTAAGGAGATATATAATTTCATATTTTTTTCTCTAATTACTTTTCTTTATTTCTTTTGCTCGCTTTCTTTTGTTCTGTTATTTCCCTTTGATATCATTAGAAACCTAGAAAAGAAAAAATGAAATAAAAGCTTGAATCGTCATGGTGAATGATTGATTCGTGAAATTCGTTTCAATTATATATTGTATTCTATAATACTTTTTTTTGACAATAAATTACCATAAGAGCATGAACGCATAATATGTTGATTAAAAATAAGTTGGATTAGTGTTTTGATCGGTAATCTCATAAAAATTGTAACAATTCTAAAATTTGTATAAAAATTATTTAACAAAATTGTTGGCTTATATGTTATATAATGTTCTGCAAAAAGTTTGAAATGAAAATTCGTAAATATATGAATTCTTGAAATGAGAATTACAATGAAATTTTTATATATCTTATTTAATATTCGTCACATTTTTTTTTCGACAATAAAATATAATATTTCGATGTTTATCCAAAAATTCAATATTCGTTGCTTCAATTAAATCGTTTTTACCAATTAACCTATTAATTCAAAATATAGTTTTAACATATCTGAAATTTTTTTATCAATTATTCAAAGTTATTTTTTATTTTCAATTCTTTTAATTCTTTATTTTTTCAGAATCTAATTAAAATGAAAAAAAATTTCCCATCTCATATAGTGACAAATAGATCAATTATTTTATCTTTTAGATCAATAAATATTGTTGTTAGAATTGTAATCTGAATTTATTTATCAAGTTTTTTATTTCTAATTGTCAATTTTTTTTAATACATTAACAATTATAATTTTACGATTTCGTGATATTATTCATGAGAGAACATAAGGATTACAAGGATTACATACTTTTTATTTTACATAATTTTTTAAAGTTTAGAATAATTTTATTTATTTTATCAGAATTAATATTTTTTATATCTTTCTTTTGAATTTCTTCAGTTTCTCCCAATATTGAAATTGATATAATTTGACCTGCAAAAGATATTAAATTTTTTAATAAAATTCCTTTAGAATCTATTTAAAATCAAATAAAAATTTAAAAAAAAAGGTTATTCAATAACTTGAAAAAAAGAATCATATAAAAAATTTTAAGCAATTATTGTAAAGAAGGAACTTTCAATCTACAAATATATTATGAATTCAGTTAAATTAAAATTATTCAGCATCTTTACAACTTAAAGATTGAATTTTTCAAATTTTTCGTGAAAAAAAAAGTATCTTTACTTCTCTATTTTCTATATTAATGTAAACATCTTTGAGAAAAATGAACCCAATCTCTGAAAATAGAGATTTAAAATTAATTTAAGCTGATTACTATATTTTTCTTTTTTTTTTTTTACAAAGTTACAACGGTGTAAAATATAACCTCACTTGTTCTTCACTCTTCGTCGTCTCATTCATGAATATTTGAATTTACAAACTCGATTTCTCTTTCCATCGTTTGATCATTTATTGCACTCTTATCCAAACAAATGAAGAAATATCTAATAAAATTTCTTCCACATTTAACAGTCTATATTACAAATGGATCACCAGCGCGAATAGGTACCATTCCAACAGATAAAGAAAAAGACGAGTTCCCCTGTAGGCAGAAATTTGCAATACAATTCAAGTTTATTGAACGATAAAGAAAAAACAGCAAACGGCGCGTTTTTCAAATGATAAAAGCTACCGGGTGACTAGATAAAAATCCTCCAAAGTGGTGTCGTAAAACGTGCTGCGAGCCCATCAACGAATCATCAATAAATTCTGTTCTCTTTCTCGAAGAGAAGGCCTGTAAACACCGGTCTATCGTCACGATGATAAAATTATGAATCGACGATCGGTATGCTGTATCACGTAATACACGAACAATTCATTCTTGATATGAGATTTTTATTGCATGGGAATGAATAGAATAATAATACTGAAGATAAAATTATTATAATTTATAAATATTAATATAATTTAATTCAATTTAATTTAAAAGTAATATTAATTCGATTGAATTAATAATATAAATTAATTAAATATTTAATGTATAATACTTGAAATTTTAAAATTACTATTTATTATTGTATCATTACAATTTAAATAATTAAAAAATATGAAATAATTGTTCTTACGAATACGTCACAATTAACATCCATCTCAATATTTAATTTATAATTATATAAAAATAAAAATCTTATTAATATCCTCTTAACTTTTTAAAATTATTATCTATTGCAATAATTATTGCAATAATTTAAATAATTGAAAATATCAAATAATTGTTCTCACGAATATAATATATTTATCTATCATAAAAATATAGTCAATATTTTTTTTACAGTAATTTTTTACAGAAAACAAAAATATTAATAAATTATATATTATTGCAATAAAACTTGTATAATTCGTTATAAATATGTACATAGACAATATTTTATACACAATTAGTAACGAATTCACGAAGAAGCTAGTTGCATTTCTTGTTGAGAAAAGATAAGTCGATTGGTCGATAGGTAATATAAAAGTTTTTATTAGGGTACACGTCGAAGAAAAGTTACGATACGAGGACCAATGACGTGTATTTCTTTAGGGGTTGCTACCGAGAACCAGATGGTTGATCGCAAATCGTAAACTTTCCGATAGACCAATGAGAATCATCCAACTGGGAGTCTACCCCCTCGCTGTTTGAAGCCCTCTCGTTTCAGACCGTAATGGCGAATATCTCACAGTTAATGTGTTTGAACGACTTTCATCAGATGTTAAGTTGTCTTAAATTAATCTCATAAAAAAAAAAAAGAATACGTCACGAAAGAAGACAGATGAAAGAAAATTCGTTACATATAAATATAAAAAAATATACTTTTAATAAAATTATTGTGAAGAATAGGAAATTTGAAACATTAATTTATTTCTACGTATTGAAAATCTTAAAAAATAATTTGTATTGTTGAATTATTTTTTATTTAAATTATAATAACAATTTAAAATATAAAATATATAATTGAGAACAAAAAAAATTTTTAAATCTTAAATTTCTTCGATTAAACGTAATTTTTTTGTATCTTTATTTAAAGTAAATAAATTTGATTCCAATTTTTTAAAAATACTTAATTTGTATATATAATTTTATAATTAGAATTACAATCGTTTTTTAACTTTCATCCATTTATATCCAAATAATACTTATACATATATATATATTTTTATAAAAATAATTTTAGATAAAAATAAAAGAAATATATCTATATAAAATATATATATTGGATTACATTCATTATACTGAAATCAATTAGTATACGATTAATAATACGATTAATAATAAATACGATTAATAATTCAAAATTATAAATGACTTTTAACAATTACTAAAATAAAAGAAAATTACTTTATTTGAAATTACATTATCTATTAAATTATTTATTTAATTAATTATATATATTGATTATTGTTAAAAAAATAATTATATATATATTGCTAATGTTAATAATTTTCATTTGTGTACTTATAGCAACAGTTTATCAAAATATATAATGTTGATCGTTAGTTCTGTTCTATCTATGATAGAGGTCGTTTCATTTGTAATAAAAGTTAATTCAAGAAATCGTTTTGAGTTAAAAAATGTTGTTATCGCGTAGTACAGCAATTTTAAAAAACGTACGTTATTTAAATGCAAAGAAACAGACTACAATAAATTTAAATCAAATTCGTACATGGTAAATATTTTTATATATTATATAACTTTTTTTTAGAAAGAGGTTAGATTTGTACAGTAAAAAACTTTTCTATAAAACTGTAAAGTTTTCTAAATTTTTGTTCTCGTAAAAATACAAAAATATTTTTATATATATAAAAAATATTGTATAATTCATATGTAGTGAATATAATACATTTAATCAAATGTATGATTCTATTATGAAAAAAATATCTCCAAAATATGTCATCCTATTCTAATATCTATAAAAATTAATTATATTAAATTACGAAATATTCTATTAGTTTTTGTTATCGCTCAACACCAAAACCACAAACATCATGGGTAATAGTATCTGAAATTTTGGGTGGAATAATGTGGTGGTGGATTTTTTGGAATTTTTGGTATGAATACAAACATATTATTGTAAGTATCATAATTATTGTTTATATATATTTTAGAAATTTACTTTAAAATAGTTTATATTTTTAAAAATACAATTTTGTTATTTTATATTCTGTAATATATTGTGTATTTTATATTCAATTTTGTAATTTATATATTTTTATATTCAGGGTCATTTTCCTGAATTATGTCCAGCAGATTGGACAGATGAAGAATTAGGAATTCCACCAGATGATGCTTAAATAGATTTTCTTGTGTACAAGAATGTGTAAATTTTGATATATACGTTAAAGATTTTACTGTATTTAATTTAAATATAAAATTACAATATAAAACTAATAGATGTACTAGTCAATTGATAGTTTATCCATATTATATCTTTCTTCAATAAATATATCTTTTAAATTATACAATTAAAAATTTATATTTTTTACCCATTATATTATTTTATTAACAATTTAATAAAAATATATATATATTTGTACATGAAATTATAAGAATATATAATATAATAATTTTTTTAAAATATAAATTTAATTTCATGTAATATAGATTATGATTGTATCTATATATATCTTTTTTAATTACTTGGTACTTTAATAGATATTGTTTTAGTTTCAAGATATTCCTTTAATCCTTCTGCACCACTAAAATAGAAAGAGAAATATTTTTATTAATTCTTTATAAATTTCTTTATTATATAATAAATAAATAATAATAAACTTACAGTTCACGACCTATTCCTGATTGTTTAAATCCACCAAATGGAGTTTGAGGTGTAATAGCATCATAACAATTTATCCTTCAAATAAATTTTTTTATATAAATTTTCTGAAGTTCTATATATGTATATATATATATATATATATATATATATACAAAAAATATAAAATTTAAATTAAAATATTTACCAAACACTTCCAGCTTCCACTGCTTGGGCGAATGTCAAAGCTTTATCAATATTTTTAGTAAGAACTCCAGCAGCAAGGCCATAATTTGTATTGTTTGCACGTTCAATAACTTCATCCATTGTTTCAAATTTTAAAATAGATTGAACAGGTCCAAATATTTCTTCTTTTGCAATTCTCATAGTATCAGTTACATTTGAAAAAACAGTTGGCTTTAAATTAAATTAAAATAATTATTTAAGAGAAACATTTAAATAATTCATTTAAATAATATAAAAAATATTAGGTCAGAAAATTATACCTTAATGAAATAACCAATACTTCCATGACGTTCTCCCCCAGTTTCCAATACAGCTCCTTCTTCCTTTCCTGATTTAATTAAACCTAAGACTTTATGAAACATTTCTTCATCAATTTGGGGTCCTTGTTGAATCTCAGAATTAAAAGGATCACCGACTTTTCTTTGTGATGCTAATTGTTTAGCATGATTAACAAACTGATCATAGATTTTAGCATGTACAAACGTACGTGAACCAGCACAACAATTTTGTCCGTGATTAGCAAATATTGCATTGAAAGCAATTTCAGCTGCTTCTTTAACTAGAAATTATATATTCTTATTAATTCCTTTATTATAGATTACATATATGTTAATATTTTAATAAATGTTTTATCAACATACTGTCAACATCATCAAAAATAACTAAAGGACTTTTGCCACCCAATTCAAGAGAAACCCGTTTAAGATTACTTTTAGCAGAAGCTGCCATTATTAAATGACCAACCTATAAATAAAATATAAAATGTTAATATAATTTTATTTATATGAATAAATGTTGAATAAATCAATATCATAAATTAGATACTTCTGTAGATCCTGTAAATGCAATCTTATTAACTTCTGGATGTTCAGCAATAGCAGCACCAGCTGTTGGACCATAACCAGTAATAACATTTATTACACCAGGTGGAAAACCAGCTTCTTTAGTAAGTGCTGCAGCATAAAGTGCACTTAAAGGAGTTTGCTCAGCTGGTTTCAAAACAATAGTACATCCAGTAGCTAAAGCGGGACCCCATTTCCATGCTAACATAAGAAAAGGATAATTCCAAGGAATAATTTGACCCACTACACCTATTGGTTCTTTGCGGGTAAGTGAAATAAATTTTCCATCTAAATAACAAATTATATTATTATTTATAAATATTCATGAAATATTTACTAATTTTATTAAAAAATATCGAACAGACCTGCTGGAATAGTATCTCCAAAGATTTTATCACACCATGCAGCATAATAACGAATTGTTTGTATACTTGCTTCTATATCAAAAAGGGCATCTGAATATGTTTTTCCATTATCTAAAGTTTCAAGAGTTGCAATATATTCCAAATCTCTTGCAATAAGATCTGCAAACTATATATATATAAATATTATAATAATTAAATAAAAAAATATGAAGATAAATTTCTTCACAAATAAAATATAAAATTATATATTGATATACTTTATTCATAAGATTTCCACGAATAGATGCATCCATTGTTCGCCATTTTGATTTTCTGTTAAATGCTTCTTTTGCAGCTGCAACTGCCTTATCTACATCTGCCTATATAAAGCAAAACAAATATTTTAAATAATAATACAAAAAATTTTGTAATGTAATGTAAAATTTATAAAAATAAAATATAATACCTTATCACCTTCAGAAACTTCTACAATAACAGTACCATTAGCTGGATTTATAGTAGAAAACTTTTTACCACTTACTGAATCCACAAAGTTATTATTAATAAATAACTGAAAATATACAATTATTGCAAATGTAAATAACTATATATATACATTATATGTGTATAATTTTTTAATATAAATTTTTATTTTAGCCAAGTTCATTTCAATATATATATATTATTATATTATTATTTTATTATTATTATTATTATATTATATTATATTATATTACTATTATTATTATTATATTGAAATTAAAAAGTATATATTTACCTGAGTATATTTAATATCAATTTTGCGACTCATCTTCATGAATGTAATGTCTTCAATAAATGAATAAACATATGTCTAGCTATTTATATTTGAAACAACTCTTGATAAGATAAAATTTAATTATTCTATATCATTTACTTTTCTGTAATTTTTCAGTAATTTTTTAATTATATATCATTTATTTTCATATAAATTAATTAAATTAAATATTTAAAAATATGTATAAAAAATAATTTTATTTTGTAACAAAAATTTATACTTACATATTTTTATTTTTAAACAATCCTTCATTTATCTTTTCATAATCTCTTTTGTAAATAAATATTTTTGTATTACATTTTTAAAGAATTAATAAAAAAAGTTTATAAAGTTATTAATAAAAACTTTTTTTGATTGATTTTTTGATTTTTTTTTGATTTGAATGAGGTTACACTAGCTATTTGAGATGCGATTTGAGAACAATTTGATGTAATCATATCTTGATTTATATCATTATCTCATATAGATATATTCAACTGTGAAAATATATTTTTATAATATTTTTTTCTTAATAATAATTGAATAATTATATTATTTAAATTAATAAATTTAAACTTCAAAGTATTTTTTAATAGAAATATTCATAAAAATTAATATTTATAATATAAATATAAAAAATATGTGCATTATAATTATATATATGTGCCTTCAATTATTTTTCAATTCTATTGATACCTTATATCATTTTTATTAAATCATTGGCGGTAGATATACAATTATTAAGTAAGAAAAAATATTTCGTTGTTGTGAATTATTAAATCAATAAATTTTGTCTCCTTGATTCTCTTGAAGCAAATAGTAATGTACTGTGTTACAAAAAATCATTCGTAATAAGAATCGAAATTTATTTTCATTCAGTTTGAAAAATAAGAAGTTATTGTAATAAATAAAACCCTACTAAATTTAGTTTTCCGTAATAATTTATTGAAAAAACATTTAATATGAATAATCATCAAGATGCTGGTGGAGATAAGGAAACGGTAAATTTAAAATAACAATTTTTTTAACTTTTAACTTTAAATAACTTTTAACCATAAATATTTATAAATTCAGTTTCAGAAATATATTAAATTATTTTTTAAATTTTTCTAATAGCCTTGTCCACAATTGGACTATACCAAAGTTGATGAACCACTTTATTTGCCTCAACCTGGAAACGAGCTTCCGGTACAACCTGAAGAACAAATGGAACCGATCGGTCCATGGGCAACAGGTCGTGTAACATACACTTCTCAAGATGGTTTAACAGGAATCAGACCAGTCGCTGATCGATATTCTATAACCAACTCTGGAGAATCTCAGTGGAGAAGTAATAACTTGAAATTTTTTAAACAATCGAATGAAAAGATTAATGAAGCTCTGTATGTAAATAAATTTCAATAATTTTTTAAATTAAATATACAATAATAATTAAATCATTACATATTGTAATATAGCCGTGCTATAAGCAATGCAAAAAGATGTGTCGAGCGATCTTACAAAGAAGCAGATAAAATACAATTGGAATCAATGGAATATTTAAAAAATCGTGCAAATGAAGTACATCGTTGGAAAACCGAACTGGAACATTTAATACTTGAGATTACAAAAGAAATAGAATTATTGCAATCTGAATATCGACATGTAAAACATTCTTTGTCGCTCCTCACGGTTCCAGAATCTATAGCCGGTGAATTTTTAGAATTGCGATCTAGACGATTGGATTCTGATCTTATTCGAGATGAAGTTGAAACAGAACTTACAAAAGTTAATATCGCTTCGTCATTATTAATTAATATTTCTCATTATTATTATTATTAATTATTAATTATTATAGGAGGTAGCACTTTGTTCAGAGATACGTGATTTGCTTGTTAGAACTCGAGAACACATAGAAATGCAACTAACCGAATTAAAGACTGCAAAAGCAAGGATGGAAATGGATTGGACTGATAAAACTGACAGTTATACTATTGATGCTGAAAACATAAAATTGACAAATGATTCTCATATCATAATGTGGAAGCTTGGAGCTACAAGAGTTCCAGCAGAGTATATAATTAAAATTAATTTTTGAAATAATTTATATGATATATATAAATTTAAATTATATTTTGCAAATTGTATAAATTCGATTAATTGTTTTTCATTAGGCAATCATCGCCTGCGAGTTATGAACATTACACACGAGAAACTCTGTCCGAAGCAGAAGCGGCCAGGCAAAGATCTGTGAATTTAAGATCCACTTTAGACTCTATATATAAAAATGCTATTAAAGATCTTCGAAATCAAGCTACTAGTGTAGATTTGGTTTTAAGTAAAAAGATTAAACTTACAGAAGATGTTCGTTTACAATTAGAGAAAGAATTACTTCGCGTAAGTTCAATTTTCTCAACTTTCATAATTCATGAGGTGGAATTATAGTATTATAAAAATAAAAATTTTTTAAGTGTTTGCACGAACTTGCAAACACTGAGGTACAGATAGAGGAGCTTCGTCATTCAACGAGAGGAATGGATTGCGTAATGAAAGTAGCACAAACACGATTAGCGAATAGATTACAACGACGCAATGTAGAAAGTTGTCGTGATACTCCTCAATTTGCGTAAGTATCTTATCAATACATTATCATCATACACTATATATATATAATTACGCTGATATGATTTTATACAAAACATATTTATTTTAACATGTTCCATTCAGTTTGTTAGAAGAGGTGAAATTACTTAATGAACGTACATCAGCTATGCTGGCAGAATTAAAAGTAGCCGAAGAAACTTTAGCAGGTTTAACAAAAGCAAGAAGCGATCTTGAACGAGAAATAATCGTAAAACGCAAAACATTATATTTAGATAAAGAACGCGGACAATGGTTACGCTCATTTTATCCTACGACTATTTAATATATACAATAATAATATACAAAATTATTATATTCAAAATTTTTTAATGATTAATGCTTGATTAAAACACATCAAACATGAATTTTATACATATATCTTAGAAGTACACGATTCGTACACAAAAATATTTTTTATATAAAATATAAAAACAAAAAATATATGATTTGGATATTTAAGAATTTTTATGCGATATTTCTTACATTTATATATAATTAAATTAAATATTACATACGCTATTATATCCAAAACTTAATTATATCCAGCTTAAATTATTGCTTTAAAATTAAATTACAAAAAAAATAAATATAATTATAATTCATCATGTGGCTGTACATAAGTCATTATAAATTCGTAAAGATCGTCCAAATTTCGAGCACCATTATACTCAGAAACTTTAAGTCCGTCACGATATAAATATAATGTTGGAAAACCATCTACTTCTTGTTCATTACACAATTCTTTACTTATATCAAGAGTACAATCTACTTTGACTATTTTCACATTTTCATTTGTCAAAAATTTCTTCCCCAGATCTTTCCAAATAGGCGCTAAACGTTTACAATGCCCACACCAAGGTGCGAAAAATTTAACGAACGAAATACCGTTTTCGATACCATGTTTAAAACTTTCACCAGTTAAACTAAGTACAGCATGAGTTGTACTATCTGAATTATCAGTCTTAGTATCCATTTGGTCATTTTCTTTTTCAAGCATTTTTGATACATAAGCTTTTAATTCTTCATGAGTACGTTGTCCAGTATATTTATCTACCTATATACCAAATATTATTGAAATTAATTAATTAAATCTTTAAAAAGGAAAATTTTAGAATAGAAAAATAAAAATAATATTTAAATCTTATACCTTCTTTCCATCTTCAATCCAAAGCAGAGTTGGATATCCTTTTATATCAAATTGTCCACAAACACTACGATGCTGAGTACAATCCACTTTAGAAATGCTAACATAATTATCATTACGTAAACTATTAGCTAATTCTTCCCAAGTAGGAGCTAATTTTTGACAATGGCCACACCAAGGTGCATAAAATTTTACAAAATGATAACCAGTAGATACATGTTTATCAAAACTATCTTCTGTTAATTCTAATAAACCATTTACTGCTTCAGGAGGTGATGGTATAATATTTTCACTCTAATTTAGAAAATTTAAAAAAGTTAAATTTCAATTAATTAAATATTAAGTTCTATAAGATAATAAAAATGTTTTTGATAATTACCCCAAAAGTAATACCTAAATGATCAGTAAGAAAAGATATTAAAGATATTAAGTCTCTTGTACCTTTAAATTTAATACCTTTAGCTTCTCCAGCTTTAAAGAATTTCAATCTAAAATTAAAAATTAAAAATTAAAAATGCTAAAGTTCATTTTATATTTTTATAAATAAATAATTATATTGTTATTATACAATTGATATCATAAATATTTTATTTCATAAATTTATATCATACACACGTAGGATAACCAGTAACATCATGTTCTGCACATAAATTACTATCTGTAGTACAATCTACTTTAGCAATTTTTACGTTACTATCTTCATTATATGACATTTTAGCTATTTGTTCCCAAATAGGTTCCAGTCTTTGACAATGACCACACCTAACAAAATAAAAAATTTATTAATACAATAAATTTATAAATATATATGAGTATATATCTCTTAAAAAAATAAAAAAAAAACATACCAAGGTGCATAAAACATGACAAGATGATTTTTCTTTTGAATTTCTGTTGAAAAATTATCTTTAGTATACTGTACACTATATAAATGATCTTCTTCACTATTAACTTGACTCAGCATAAATATAAGTAAAAGGATATATTTCTTTAACATGACAAAGTTCAATGAAATCATATTCATATTAACAGATAATTAATATTTTATTAAATAATTAAATATTTAAAAATAAATTTTTAATATTTAAAAATTATATTCTAAAAATAATGATTTAAAATAATTTAAAAATTGTTTTATTGCATCGAGTATATTACTTAAGGTTACGGTTTTAAAAGTTTTTATAACGTTTTAAATAATTAAAACTTTTGTACTGTTTAGATTATAATAAAAATCTTTTTTTTATTATTAAGAAACTACTATTTCGACTTTACACTTATTCCCACACTCCCACATAAATGGATCGAAACTGCCGATTCCGCCCCCATGCTCTCATATGATATCATTTAAATAAAGACAACATTTTATGATAAAGTTCCTATAAATATTTTTTATATAATTATTAAACTTTTTAGTTTCGTTTATTCATTAATAATAATTATTTATAATTATGATTATTGTTATAATATTCGAATATGTAATCAAAATTTTACTGCATCAATTAATCAAAAGACATGTATTTATTTCTGTTTTCATTATTATTTCAAATAAAATAAATATAACATATATGATAAATCCAAAATTGATCAATTCAATCAACTATTTTGCTTAATTTGACTATTTTTTAGATATGTATATAAATAATTATCATATATCGTGTATATTTTTATAGTCTTATGTCATATTCAAAGTGGGGGAACATTTATCATTAAATCATTCCGTATCGAGGATATTAATTTATAAACAATGCGTGAAATAAGTACAATATGAGTGACATGAAGAAAAAGATTCATCATTCTGCAGTATTTAAAAAACGAACAAAAAATGACGATAATGCTGAATTGTCAGAGGTTATTATTATATCTGCTAGAAAAAATGGAAATTTAAATCTCTCTTCGAGAGGATTATTCACGGGTATTCGCATTATATCAAAATGAAATGAATATTATTTAAATTTCATTTTCAAATGCTTACTATCACAATGCTATAGTATAAATAAATTAATATGCATGATTGTTCATATTCATATTACATTACAATTTTTATAATTTATCATTATTTTTTTTTTATTTAAAATAATTTATAATATAAGTATATTATACTTTTATTAAATATATATAATATTATTTTATTAAGAATTTTATATATTTTATCCATAAATTATCCATATATATATATATATATATATATATATATCATAAAAATTAATTACATTAATTTAATAAATATATACACATCAGCTTTATGCTTTTTAGTTGCATTGTATTTTTTAATTTCATTATTCTCGGAAACATAAAAATTATTTATTTTTGAAATATTTTTTATTTTTGCACTTTCATTTATCAAGCAAAGCACGTAATCTAAATTATAATAAAATAAAAATAGTATATATTAAATTTTATTTCATTCAATATGTAATTCAGTTTTAGTTATGAACTCTGTGTTTTTCATTTTGATTCATAGCTTTGCATGTTAGATATTGTGAATAATGCAATAAAGCAAACAATGTTTAAGATTATCTTACAAGATTATCACATATATGCATTAAGGTAAGTCATTCTTGTAAACATATTATATTTTATGTGTTATGTTATACATAGACTAATGTAATATATAACATATTATGATCAATGAAACTTATTATAGTACCTAATAGAGTATGGACTATAAATGATTTAACTGAAGAAGAAATAAGGAATTTACATGTTGAACTTGATTATATTCATGACAATGAACGATGGTGGGAACAAGAACCTCTCAAAATATTGGACTTAAGTTGTAACAGTTTAAAGGCAATTGATTCAAAAGTAGAATGTTTGACAGAATTAACTACATTATATGTAAGTATAGTTTTAATTTTATTCATGAAAAAATTGCATATGAAAAATTATGTAATAAATTTCTATAATTTTTATAGTTGCACAATAATATATTGGAAGATTTGCCAGTTGAAATAGGAAATTTAAAAAAGTTAGAAATACTAAATTTATCAAATAATAAATTAGAAAAATTACCACATGAATTTTATAAACTAACTGAATTGCATCAATTAAGCTTAAAAAATAATAATATAAAACAGCTTGATCCAGCATTTGGTGATTTCATAATGTTGACTTACTTGGTAATCATTTTTATATTTTTAAAATAATTTTATATAATTAATCTCTTGAAATATTGCATATATTTAGGACTTATCATACAATAATTTGACTGAATTACCAATTGGAATGGGATATTTAGTTCGACTTATTTCTTTGGATATAAATCATAATATGTTAAAAGAGTTACCACCTGATTTAACAAATATGAGAGGTATGATTTACAGTAATTTACAAAGAATAAATAAACATATATTTCTCTTTGTTTTATTTAATTTGTTTTTTTTTTTATTATATTTTTAACATATTACATCAGCTTCAACAAATAAACAGTTTCACACTGTTTCTTCCTCTATGACATAAAAATGTAATAAAATCTACACATATTTTTTAAAAATAGCATTACAAAAGTTAAATGCAAGTTATAATAACTTGGAAATGTTGCCACCTCTGGGTGAATTAAGGAAGGTAGAAACAGTGATGTTGCAAACAAATAAATTAACAACATTTCCTGATATGTCTGGTTGTATACAATTAAGAATACTACATTTGGCTGATAATAACATTACTGTACGTACTTATATGCTAATTTAAGCATATATGATAGTGATTATTTATAGAGAAATAAATAATTTATATGTTTGAATTATATGTATAAAAAAAATATTTTGTGCATTTAATATAATTATATAAATATAAAAATATATATTCTATAATCTTTGATAAAAAATATTTATTTATATACTGTAATAATTTATATTAATAATAATATTTTACATATAATAAAATTATACATATATAATAAAATTTTATATAATTTATAGGAAATTGATATGTCTTGTTTAGAAGGTGTAGGGCAATTAAAAACATTGACATTAGGAAATAATCAAATTGAATCTATACCAGAGGAAATAATAAAATTGGTGTATCTAGAAATTTTTGATTTATCACACAACAAAATAACTCTGTATGTTATTTTCTATTCATTATTATTCTGTTATAATGTAATATTTTCAAAATAATATTCTTTGTTTTATAGAATT